AAGGAATTTTTTGAAATCGATGCCACTCCAGTAATTTCCGAGATATGTTCTATAATATTCCATATCATATCCAGGACGATTACTGATGGGCTTAGGTAACCGCCATTGTTTTTTATCAATAATTATATTAATGTTAATAGCACTTGCCAAGGTAACAACCGTCATATTTAGCAAAATATACTGATTTTATCGATTTATAGCGTTTTTAGCGAATTCTAGCAATTCTTTAGCAACTTATACTAGATAATATCATCATTCAAATTTATACGGATTTACTAATTAGTGATTAATTGACTTGTAGCCGATTTTTAAGACTATACTCAACTAAATCCAAATTCATTTTTAAAAGTTAACGGATTTATATAGGGTCATATCAGTGTCATACCTTGGCTAAGCTAATTTTATAAAAATCTGTATCACCCTGCCCCAGACAGTTCCCGGCACTTCCTCGCAACCTTCCCGCAACTCAAATCACGAGATGAGTTACAGATCAGCCAATCAGATCTCGCCTTTGATCTGCAGGAACGTGTATTCCTTTTAGAAAAAAAAATTAAGCAGTTCATATACTTTAGCATTTATAGGAATACAAAAATAATTGATAAGCGTATATATTGATTTTATTTGTGGAAATGATAATCATACATGTCTAGGTAATGTTAAAACTTCGGGCAAGCGTGAACAGGCGATCACACTTGAGTAAAAAAATTTGGCTTATCTGAAATCCGGAAAAATTTCGGTAGCTGTGAACATATGAGTAAAATTTGGCACAGTAAATTTCACTGGCCCACTTCTAAAACTTTAGCTATTACATACTCAATATCCTCCACGCTCAACCTCGAAATAGTGTGATATCAGATGATAACCATGAAGATTCTTCACACTTCCAACCAATAGAAGCGTGATCTACAAGAAAATACTGATGGACACTGTCCAAGCTCGTCAAAATTGCACAGAAAAATGGATTAATCACATGGCGCAATACATTATCGAACTTTCTGCATTAAGATTTTTGGCAATTACATAATCAATTTCATCTAGTTAGAAATATCGGGGAATAGGTCTATGCGGTGCATTTATTTTTTTCGTTTGGCAAATTTTGACAAAAACAGTTACCATTGGTAACGATCAGCATACCAAAAACAATATAGCGCACGAAGTGTATAATTTATTTTCAATGCTAAATATATCACGCCATGTAAGCCTTATTATAGTATGGTCATATGCACATATTTAAAGCCTAATTGGGTAAATTGCATAACGGTCACAAACATTTACTATTAAAAAATCGAAAGACAGCAGATAAATAATTTGTAATTACACATCGCCTAACTTCAACTCAACCTAAAATGATAGCATAAAAAAAATAATGAGAAACTTCTGAACCAAACAAAAATGAGCGGATACACAAAAAATGATGAAAATATACCTTGCGAGGAGTTGCTACCGTTTTCCTGATCATCCTCATCTTTTCGGTTGGGGTTCTTACAATGTCATTATTAGTGGTATAGGATGGAAGCCTTTCAATATGTTCTTCTACGAAATTCTGAAATTTGTAATTAGCAAACCATAACGTTAATAATTTAGCAACGCAATAATACAAAAAGACCATCAAATTTACCTTCAAATTTTCTACTTCATGTAATGCGTTTTCAACCAAACACAGGCTAATATTACTTTTTGGCAATTCAAATTCTCCCATCAAATACATTCTGTATACAGCATCATACGAAAGATCCATAGCATATACACGGACATTATAACCTGCCAACAGAATGCTAAACTGATTAGATAAAAAAAAAGCACTCAGAAAAAATATATCCGGAAAGCTACATACCAAATGCGTGAATTCCAAATACAGCCATGTCTAATTCAATACGTTTTTCTTTATACATGTTATCTAGTGAGTCTTTCATTAAAACTCCTAAATCCACTAAATCAACATTTGCGAAATGACAGCTACTTTTGCAAGGCGATTTGAATAAGCCAAATACAACTTCAAATTTGCCACTTCTTTTATTAACTGTGATTGTGAAGTCGGGTTTATGTCCTTCGCCTTGGTCATTGTCATTTGTTTTCCTAGATGCGCTTACGAACGACAACTTGTTTGCCCTATGAAGAAAGCAAATATAACATTAATACTGCATTTAAATGCAGGAATGACTAATACTGATATATAGAATTACCAATCAACTTTCCTATCCGGTCCATCGGGGAAAAATGGACGTAAGAAAGGATGTATTGAATGGTGTACGTGGGTGTCTTCTATTGTTCGAGGACTATCAAAACTAGTTCGCCAATTCTCTGCACTAATTAGAATTATCTTATTAACTTGAGAAATACGGTAATCAAAATATCAAATTAAGAAATACACCCACATGTGATTCCAAACATTCTGACTGATCCTCAGCAATTTTTTATCGGATGGACTCGAGTTCGTCCTTAAATCACTATAAGCATTGTCAATTTCTTCTTCTAGAGCCTCCCTGGTCTGTTTTCGAGCAACTTGAGCACATCGATTTGACATATCTTCAACCACTTTCGGCAAATAGTATTTCGGGTACATTGCCCTCATTTGCTCAAAAATCTTTGCGCGGATGGCTGATGAAATATTCAATTGTACACGGACAGAGTTTTCCTCCAAAAGGAGTATAGAATTTAGAGCGCTGGACATTAATAATGATCCAATACATTATTATTAACATTCCTAACCGTTAATATATATACACTGCATAAAAAGATAACGTGTCAACTAACAGAATTTCGCCGGGATGCTCTGAGAATTTCAATTCATGTCTGTTTGCTTTTGATTCAGCAAAACGTTTGAAGCGGAAAAATTCATCACTTATGTTCGTATCATCAATGGTCCACTCCTGTACAGAATTTAAGATCAATTAGTTATGCCACGTAAATGCTTTTAATGAAACATAAATCTACATGTACATACCACAACTATTTGTTTCCAATCTTCATATAAATTCCATACCAAGACATATGTAGGTTTAGTTCCGGACTATAGATACAATAAAAAATGATCGTTAAAATATTACAAAAAATTAACATTTGATCAGTTACTCTGAAGAGAATACAAATTCTTCACCTCTTCTACTCCTTTAGATGATTTCTTACGTTTTTTTGAACCACTTGTGCTACCGGTTGACTCAGGTACATAATCCAAATCTTTATCATCATCAGCCTAAAAGGAATCACGCAAATTAGTTGCTATTTTTAAGAGGAATTCGCGCAAACAAATCCTTATCATAAGGTTGCATTTTACACACACCTTATTAGAAGCTGAGGCAACCGATTCTTTATTCTTTACCGACCTTTTTGACTGTTTCTTCTGCTTTGGTCGGATAAGCATAGGTTGGAAATCGTCATCGGACTAAATACAAAAAGAAAGAGTTATAACAGGCTACAATTCTCATAAATTACACATCCGTACCTCATTATGATCTCTTTTCTTTGGCATAAGTTTTACTTCACCGTTTATATCAACTGTTCCTCCGTTTACTACAGTCCCCGCGGTTAGATTTGGTTGGTGAATGTTAACCTGTCTCTGCGAGCGCTTTTTCTCCCATTCACTTGCTTTTTTACGGTCAGGACCCTAGCAATAAATTTTGGAAATTATTAATAATTCTCAACTAATATTTCCTATCCCACCGGAACATCAGCCAACCGAGCAGGCTACCTGTGCCCCAGTGGGTCCAGTGCTGGATCAGCGAACAGCCTTTGGCATCAGATAACCAAGCAGGTCACCTGTGCGCCAGCACCAGTTTCGTGGCTCAGCAAACAGCCTTGAATGAACGACAACCAAGCAGGCTCTCGTTCACGCCACGCTTAAAAGAAATTTTACTTGCCTTTTTAAATTCGTCTAAAAGCAAATTCGCCTTTTCAGCCCTCTCGCCCTCTCCTTGCTCGTCAGCGATGGCTTTGAGACTTTTTATATATTTGTCTATCTTTGCGTCATACGATTATATACCGCACCGGTTTAGGAAGTCAACAATATTCCATCCTTCAGGCTTCCGTTCAAAATATTCGTGATTCATGACTAATACACGATAATGATTTATTTCAAAGACAAGTACACGATAATGGTACACGGCTAATCCATCCACAATAAATCGATCATGTGATATCAAGCGTTTGTGTCACGTATTACGTATTGTAAAAATTATCACGAGTAACAGGCTGATTTGATAACATGTAGTGTATGGTCCGAATTTGTGGGCAAACTTTATTAATTTTTCAGATACATGCGTAATACTTTTGAATGAGGATAGCAAACGAAATATTATATGATGCTATCAAAGAGGGAGGGAGTACGCGGATCCTAGGCCATTTAATGCGAGTCCCAGCATCAAGTTATTTCTTTGCTCTCATATTTTTGAAAAATATCTATATAACTAATTTATTTCTATTACTATAGCTAACTACAACCCCATAATCTTTACACTAGAATTCTGAAATAAATTACACCGCTTATATCTACAGAATTTTCGTCTATCTACATCACTCCCACTCACACAGACTATGTAATAGATTATTTCCTGCAAGAGAATTTCCCAAGATGAAATAATTTCGAACCTATATGAAGAATTCTGAGATTAGCAACGGAGAAATAAAATAAGGTAAGACTTCCGATTTACACTTACCGCTATACTTCATTTTCACAACATTCCATTCTTCCTCATATTCAAGAAATTTGTTATTTAATGTGTTGTGTTTCGATTTTTTTATCGCTAGAACAATATTGCGCCAAGCATCAAGAATTCGGATGCCATTGCCTGAAAATTTTATTCGATATACTACGCACTGTATCTCAGCATGTGACGAAAATCTGATAGAAATTAATACTGCGCTGATTAGACACATAACAATGATCACGATTTTCTCGACGAATATTAAATGTGCGGAAAGAATCAAGAAAAGTAATATGTCCGCTTTATCTATGAGCATCTATAGAGCTGGGAAAAATGATTAGCATCGTGATGGTGATTTTCTAAAATCAAGCCAAGAAATCAAACAAACTAATTTTACTATTACTTTGTGGTTTGATTGATTGTTGATATTGTTGAGGTTAATAGTGATAAGTTTGAATATTTGTTTTGATCCTTTTTTGCTTTATTTGCACAAAGCGGATAAAAGGAGTCACTAAATAAAGATTCACCTTTTTATAAGATTTGTAATGCATTTAAGGATCGATTTTTGGAATAAATCTTTGGGGAAATTACGTTATTATGATTCATCACGAAATTAGATCAACGGATACTCCTTAAAATTATAATAGACACTGGGATCATGTCCCTAGATCAACAAGGAGATCTTTTTTATTATTAATACATATAAAGCTTGAGTATATGCAGGAAGTTTTGAGAATAAATGATATAGTGGTAATGACTTGTTCTCGTAATACATGGTGACTTTTTTTAAACGATACTGCGCTTTTATTAAGTATCGATTCACAGATGAAAAACTGGTTAAGAAATATTAGCATACAAACACATCTCACACTCTCCTCAACACATACTAGATATAACATATAAATATATTGTGTTTAATGTGCCTTAGCTTTATTGATTGTAAATAAAAAAAAATTACAAATTTTTGTTTACACTGCGGAATAATATCTAGTGCAACAATGCTATCATGTAGTTACAATTGCGAACTTGAATTTATTGCTTGAAGTGAAACAAGTAAAACAATATTCTATTCCATACCATTCGCCATGTAATCCATAATTCACATGTTTTCCATCACAAATAGGACATGGTGAGCTCCATGGCTAAGGTGATGCAAAATTATAATTATAAATCCCTCTAAAACTATTTCAGAATTTCAAGTATGGGAAATGCTCTAAGATGGATTTAATAATTAATTCTGAATCGGGTCTGGCTTTGAAGGTGATAGGCTTGAAATCAGAGGCTTGAGGTTTTTCTGATATACTTATCACGGATTGCCATAGCTCATTTTCAGTTTCTTTTTTATATCTTTTGTATAAATTGGTACGAATCTTATCTGTCAAAATGCTTGGTAACCCACTTAATTTGTCATGCCAATCCAGATATTCGGGGGTTAATACTTTATCAGATTTGCTCATGTTTCCTTTTTTTCTATGATTACAAATCAATTTAAATTCCCGGATAGAAAGTTGTCTAATATTTCTTATCATATTTCCAAAAAATAATTAGAGGTCCCAGAGGGCGGGATCATCTTTCGAAGTATCTATAATGTAAGAAAGGGTTAAAGGAGTAATGAGACTATGCAGTTATCTCAATTTCGCGCTGTTCACATTTAATAAAGTAAGATCCAGATTTATACTTACCTTCTATACTTTCTTCATCATTATGATTTAACTTGCATAATGGGCATATTTTCTCATTGGTAATTCCATAATAATCGAAATTTTCACTACTAAATTCTCTATATAAATCAGGATATTGATCCAATGTCTTATTGCGAAAATAGAATCGGTCATAAGTTAGATTAATCTCAGGAATTGATGCAGTTGCTTGAGGTGTGACTGATGAAAGGTCATGACTTTGATCGTTACCAGTTTTTGAGGTCACATGACTCTGATCGTTACCATTGGTAACGATTTTATCGTTCACATGATCTATAATATTTTGAATTTGAGTATTAGTTAATCTAGAAATATCACTCGCGTTACAAGTGACTAATTTAATTCTATCTATTCCAACCCCTTTTTCTCCAAATAGCATAAGAATATTTTTAGCTCTATGTGTTCGGATTCGCAAATTACCCAGAGTGACATTAGGTAAATACTGCAACATATCTTTGTATATCATCGATCTTGCTGTCTTATCTTTAGTCTT